TACCTGGTCCATATATGGTTTGACGAGCACCTGTCCTACCAGGGCCTCAGCATCTCGAGTCTTGTCTACGGTGGCGTAAGTCCTCAAGCAGTGACGTACCATGTCCACATTCGATGTCTGCAAGCCCTCAATCAGCAGACCCTCCAGAGACTGCTGCAGCATAGACGTGATCCCTGCAATACGCTGGCAGAAGACATTCCCACTTGGTGCGGTTTGTTTTGTGCAGGTGTGAACACAGTAGTCATACTCGGGTGCAGAACAAAACCCCCCCAAAAAACACTGAGACGCTTTGAAAAGAGTTAGTCTCAGTATGTTCCAAACAAACATCAGGGCAGTTTGTTTTGAGGGTAAATGTGATCTAACCCCGATCCAGACCAACTACTAGGTGTGTGCTACAAGTTTGAGCTAAAGAAAGAACAGATAGCCACGCATGCTTTGTATTCTCAATGTGGGAAGTTACTATAGATGTGCAAACCTCTGCACGAGCTAGCAACTAGCTGTGAAATGAATGTAAATTTTCCATTTTCTCACACAACACTTTCTTCCTGTCTTTACTTTTATGCTCCCACCCCAGACACATCTGGCCAATGAGCAGACTGAACTTTTTCACATGAGTTGTAGTGACACATTTGGGTTCACTAGGAGTTCACTTTGATTTTTCTCTGTGGGAACATATCCAAACCACAGAATAAAGCTACATGTTTACAAACTCATCAACTGATTCAGACCAGAGTAAATGAATTATAGGTCCGCAAACACCCTAAGTAATTGGTTCATTAACACTTACAGGTCTGACTTTATCCAGCAGGGGCATGCCCTTGCTCTGTACAGCGTGGAACTGCAGCTGGTTGAACTCTGTTGCAATCCTTTCTAGGATCTGTCCTGCTAACAAGGGGCTGTGAATGAGAGAAAAATAATAATAAAAAAAGAGGATCTATCGCAAGATAGCATTATGTCCCTGCAAAGACCAAGCTACGAAACATAACTCCTGATGTGATGCCTGGGATCTGGTTTGAATTTTTCTTAATCATTTCAGATATAATTTAACAATCTACCAAGTAATACACAGATTGACTAGATTAGCATGTCAGCTCTCTACCTGCTGATCTCCAGAGAGCTTGATTCCTTGGAACTCTGTGAGTGAAGGATTTTCTCAATCTTCTCCACTGATCGTACAACCTGAATCAGCCTCATCACACACACCTGATTGATGGTGACAATGAAAGGGAGAACTGAGCTTGCTATGGGCTTAACATAAAATTAATACAAAATACAGTTTGGTCAAAGCATAAAGTCTGACTGTAAAAAGAGGAGCCAAACCTTTTTTTTCTGCAGGTCCTCGTGCTTCGACAGCTGGTTATCTATCGCCTGTATCACCTCACTAACACAGGACCGTAGACTCTGGAACAAATAGCAACCAGAGAAAAGTACTCAGTGGCAGGAAGTAATTACAGTCGGAAGTATATTTATTCAGAAAAGAACGTACCATAACCTCCTCACGTAACTGTCCTAATGGCACAGAAAGCTGATTGAGTGCTTTGTCCATCCCAACCTAAGATGAAGGAGCAGACGTCAGATTAGGCCCAGGCTTTATTTAAGAATATTAAAACTGTAGGATTTGTTTAACTGTTCAGAAGCATATTAACAGACCAAATACTAGATTCATAACTGTTAATAACAGTAAGTCATAGATTTTTTGCGGAATACATCGCTCTGAAAAAAAAAGTGGAAAAGATGGAAATTCCTGTTATAATTTCTTGCCACAAGCTGACAATTTATATTCAAACTTTGTCCAAAACAAATTTGTGATTCAGCATGGGAAAAGCCAGCGAAGGACACAAGAGCCCCAGCTGCACTCAAAAATGGCCAAGCAATCATGCAATCAAGAACAACCAATATTTGTAATGTTTATTATTATAATCTTAAACTCTGCAAAGATCTCCCAAAACTATCCAAAAAATAATTCTTACTGAACAGTAAGAATTATTTTTTACTGAACAGTAAGAATTATTTGGGTGCAAAAACTGCAAATAAACAGTGCACTGGCCTCATCTGGTAAACCTCTCGACTATAAGTGGAAAACCCCATGTTTGGCTCTGCCAAAATTTGCCAACAGCAGACTTTTGCGCACTTAGCCTGTGATGATAACGCTGTGTGGACTGTGACTGATCAATGGTGGCTTGAATGCCTGTTGGCATTTTTAAACCACAAATTTAATAATTTATGAACATACTACAAATGAGTATTCATCTTTCTGGATAAGTTCTGCACCACAGAAATTCAAAGGATGGATACAGTTTGACATTTTCCAGTTAAAAATAATCATTAAAAGATACACAAAGACAGACAAATGAAAGATTTGTTTTACAGTTTCATCTCAAAGTTTTGAAGTCTAGTAAGCATGAAAAGTTAAAAACTTGAATGCAAGTTCAATAAGTAAGATCCGTAATCAATCATCTGCCTGCTTTCTTGGGTGTTCAGGCTGATAGCCTATTCCTTACGTCACTTCCATTTTCTCACGCTGTCAAACTCAGTACAGCCATCATTACTTTAATCCAATCATTTTCTTGCCTGCTATCTCCACACCAATCAGTCCCCATTCTAAGTGCTTTAAACCTCACTGCTCTTCTATCTTTCTGCCTTTCAGGCAGCCGCCTTCTCCCCATTGCCATCTCACACTGATCACTTAGAGCCCAATCCAAGCCTCCATCTTCATCTTCTCCTCTAGTTAGGGTCCTGTCATAACTTCCTACACTGCTAGGATTTTGTTCTGCTATGATGGGCCAGAGTCTAAACGCCAATTCAATTCTCTTACTTACTAAATCATTGTTCCCAACGGCCTCTCCTTATTGAAACAGAAAAGTATGAAGTGCTCACATTTTCAAAGTTGAACCAGCAAAGGTTTGCTTGATTAGTTCTACAGATTTGGCCATTTTTCCATCACTTAATTTACAAATTAAATCATTGAGTAGATCTAATAACTGACAACACATACATTCTGTTTATTTACATAAATAAAACAATACCTACCAATAATAATTACTGATTTACTAGCTACCTTTCATCAAGGCATTAAATTTTAAATTACACCAAGGAACATCCTCCTGTTGGCTACTGTTTCTAAACTTTACATATTTAAAATTACAGTTACTGCCATTAGATAACATGAATAAAAACTGACCAGGTTGGTAGAGAGGTTAACAAAGTCTGCATAGTCCTTGTTAATGAGCTCCACCATGGCTGTTTTCAACAGCTTGTAGTAGAGCTCCAGGTCCTCTCTCAGTTCTTCCAGCTGGACCTGCTTCCGACACTCAGCCACAAACTGGTCAACGTCAAAGTCATCCTGCAGACACAAAGGGAAGAAGGCAGCATGCATTCAACGACACATTAACTCTGGTCACTTTGATAGGTACATCTTGGCCCTCCTTTTGGTTTGAGAACTGCCTTAATTGACTGGTGATAGACTGAACATAGATTCGGAAAGATCGGTGCCTTTCCTGTTCTTGAAATGCCACTCATTTCAAGAACAGGAAAGGCACCGGTGTGTGTGGTGCATTCAGAGATGCTCTTCTGCATAGTTTGGTTGTAACATCTGGTTATTTTAGTTACTTTTACAGCTCTATCCGCCATTCTCCTCTGACATCGACGAGGAATTTTCACCCAGAGATCCGCTGTTCACTGCATATTTTCTCTATTTTTACACCATTCTCTGTGAACCGTATAAGAGGGTTGTGTAGGGAAATGCCACGTTTAAAGCCACTTTGATCACTCTCATCCCTCCTTTTGATGGTCGGTTTGAACTTCAACAAGCCAAGTCTAAACCTCGTCCACATGAGCAAACGCTTTGGATTACTGCCATGTGATTGGCTAATTACATATTTACATTTCTGAGTTAACAAGAATTTGGACAGGTGTACCTAACAAAGTGTCAGGTGAGTGCTCAAACTGCAATCCTCAGGCGTCGACTGTTTCACGCAGAAACGCCTGCATGTTGCCTGTTATTTAAAGTTACTCTGCTGGCTCGGTAAAAACATTCATATCTACTGACTGGTAAACCTTTACTGACACAGGAGCATCAGAATGAACGTCCACTATCGACATTTAGCTAGCCTAATGCTAGCTAGTTTGACAACCTAACGCTTTAACCAGCATTTACACACTCTTACCTTCATAAAAACATCCTTATCGAAGCACAGAGAATCCGGTCCCTTTGGTAGATTCATTTTATAAGTAAAAACACAACTTAAAGCTACAGTCAGAGAAATGACGACCAGCCTTGAGCTAGCTGCAGTCAAGCTTCCGCAAACATGGCAAGCGCACCGACGAAGAAGACCGTGATTAAGATAATACTCCTGCGCCCCCTAGAGGCCCCATGCAATGTGACCACAGTGCATTGAGACCGCAGGGGTCGCTGTTGAATATAACCTAAATATTTTAATATTTAAATAAATAAAATGGTTTGTTATTAATAATTTTGGATTTCAGAGTTGTCACATAAATTTGCTCAAAACTTTTAGGTGCTCAATTTTTTATTTCCAAATGCCATTTTGTTAATTTGCAGTATATAGAAAAAAAATAATTAAAACTAAATCCGCATTCACTGTGACAGTCCTTTCCAACATCAACAGCGTTTCTCTTTTCTTTGCAGTAGATATGAAAAGAAAAATCTATTTTAATCCATATATTGAGGTCTTGTTTAATTAATAATTTGCGATGGCCAAAAGATGAGTCTGTTTTCGCTAAAAAATGCTTCTAAATATCAAAATAAATTAATAAATAATTTTATTATATCTATAATCTAATAAAATTATAGATAGAATAGAATTTTAATTTTCCTCATTGTCATTTTCTGCGTCCATCAGTATTATTCTAGCACTGTATTATCGTTAGTCATCATAATCTTCTTTCACCTCAGCTTTAGCAGCTGCCATCAGCCGCACCGCTCCTGTCCGAGTTTGCTTTAGAAAGTGAAATCTTATTGGCTGGCAGTGCAGCGCTACGGCGTCAGGTGATTCAGTGCCAGCCACTACTCTCGCTATTCCTCGGAGTGGATAAATAACTCGCTGGTCTCTCAACCCGGATGCTGAGTCAAAACTATTGATGATTTTGCCCAGTGAGCAGCGCTGTGGGCAGAGCAAGGGGGCGGAAATATTCCAGTACCCTTGAAGCGGACAGCTGCCACCGGATCTACACTCTGCTGACCAGCGGGCTCAGCATCCGAGCCGGGACGGCAGGTGGATCATAATTCATACCAAACACAGGGGAGGGTGTGATCGCCACACTGAAGGCAAACACGTCTCCTGCTCCTGCAAGATCGTGACCACTTGCACGCCACTGAGGAGGTAGTGAAAGGGTGAGAAAGAGAGTGGAAGAAAGAGAAAGGGGGGAGGAGAGAGGAGCATCACTACAGAGAGAGAGATGGCGGAGTGCGGGCGGAAGGCGCTGTCTCTCCTGGAAGCGGCCCGCTCCCGGTACGAGAGCCTGCAGATATCCGACGACGTGTTCGGCGAGTCCGGGGACGACAGCAGCGACAATCCCTTCTACAGCACCTCCGGAGACTCCGACTCTGATAACTACATAGCCGAGGTAGGTGAGGAGGATCAGCAGCAGCAGCAACAGCCACCGCAGCAGCAGCACCACCACCACCATCACCACCAGAAACGAGGCGATAAGGAGAGTGGACACAGTGGGGGGACAGGAGGTGGCAGCGCAGCAGGACCCCCCGGCTCCCTATCCCGTAGTCAGGCAGAGGAGGAGGGCTGGACGGAGACTCTGCAGGATGTCACGGTCCCGCCGTACAATGATACATACGGTGAGGCACGATGGATGGGCTATTTTTTGCACTGGTGGGGAGCAAATGCTCACGGCTGTGTAGTGATTGGATAGACACAGACAGGAGTGCAGTCCGTGTTCACATTTTTCAGGTCAGGCAGGCCATTTCTGTTTGTCACAACAGCCACAAAGCAACTACTGCTTTTTTTTTTAAACAACTGAATACTGCTCTCGTTTGTATCTCTCTCTCTGTGTATGTGTGCGCTTCTTGCTTGTGTGTAGTGAGGAGAGTAACAGAGAGAAACATGACACATGCATCGTTAATTGCTTTATTAAGTTAATGGCAAAGGCTTAACCTTTGATGCATCACCCCTTGGTGCTGTTGTAGACATGCTGTCTTATGTGTATGTGCTCATGTTTCAGAGCTGTTTCGTTTAGAGAAACGGCATGAATCCTCTCCTGGCTCCATGCACATGTATTATGTGCATATTTTAGAATAAAATAAATAAATAAATGGCACATTTTGTTGCATATAAACTCAATGTGCATAACAAGAAATATCTATGCACTTTATAGAGCCACAACTTAACCTAGCATGCATGCCTTCTGATGCTATGTAGGTGTGTGTGTTCATGCAGAACTAATGCACAAATGCCAGCCTTTGTCCACTGGTACCAACAGCTTAAATGTGAGACACAAGCTCAGAGAATCCTGATTTATTTATTCGGTTATTTTCCTTTTTAACTGCACAGTTCTGCAGGTCTGTTTGTGTGTGTGTGCGCAAAGGAGAGACATTTGTGTGGATGAATCGTGACAGTTAAACAGCAGTGTGTGCACCCACACTGCTCCTTCCTCTCTACCACACCATTAGACTGTCAGTCTTAAGAACACTATTTATTTATTTAGTCCATTATAGATCAGAGAGTGGGGTTTGGGGTTTATAGTGCAGCTCTTTCAGTCAAGCTATGTTTGGATTGGTTCTCCTTGTCCATCTTTCCTGCCTCTGCTGAAGCCAAAACGATTTGTGGGAATGCCATCCTGTTTCCACCGTGACAGGATGCACTGTTGCAGACTTGGAGGGGAATCGGCATATGGCTGTAGTAGATACGGACCAAGCCCCAGTGTGCTGGCACACTACCTAGTAGGAACACACTTATTCAAATGAATAAAAAGCCCTGGCTGTAGATAACCTGCCAAGATGCCACTGCAAAGTAAGTGAACAGCACTCGCTGTTTGCAAAGAATTGTTCCCAAGCTGTTCCAGTGCAGCAAACACCGAAATGTACTACATGATCATTTAAAAAAAACCCCACACATATGAACAAATGAGATAAAGCTTTTTAATGTTCTTTTGGAGCTATTTGGTTCAAGAAACAGTCTGTTCCAATAAACAGAATACTAAAAAAAGACACATACACATACTAAATAACATTTATTTCTGGATATTTTTTTTTTCAGATCCAGCTAACTTTAGTAATCCTACTCTGGGATAATCTGAGCCTGGATATAAAGTGGTGTCTGTTTTAAGCACCCAAAATAATCTGAACCAAGCTGCACTGAGCTGGGGTACCATAAGAGTGCCACAATTTGTGCTGTGGCACAAATGTTAGAGGACGTTCAGTACTTCTACATCCTGGACTGTCTGACTCTATTTAGCTGTTGTGACTTTCTTGACTTAAGCTAGGGTGGCAGCAGGTGTGTTCGTCTCTGCTTTGTATGGTCTGGTCTGATTTGTTAAAAATGCAGTCAGTGTCTGTTTGCACAAGCCACTGCAACTCTAGGCCCGCCATCCTGTATCAGGGTAGGGATGATTAAAAGCGTGGATGTAGTACTGCCAGAGTGCATAATCACACTTCAGACCTCAAGTAGCCAAGACTGTACTCTGACTTAATCAGCCCGAACAGATAAGAACGACTCCATCCTGAGCAGCATGTCTGCATAAATGTGCGTCTCCGCAGATTTTAATGGCACGAATGACGTTTCTGCAAAGTCGGTCAGTGCCCGTCTGTCTGCCTGCCCATTTCTATGTCAGTCAGTGTGTGCTGACACAGGATGTTCATATGTAATATGCTGTCTTCAAATGAGTTTGTGATGGTTGCCCCTGCAGTGCGAGGCGGGTGGCAAATGACCAGACCAAAGATTATGAACCGTAGCTCTTAGATTATATAAGCACTTTATCATGATGTCGAAGGGAATTAAAGAACTATTTATTGCTTCACTTTGCTGAAGCTGACTGAAAGATTACTGCTCCTGCCCATATGTCAGTTCATCTGCCTGACTGTGTATTTCTACCTTGTCTGCATGAGATCTCTCAGCCATTTAAAAACACTTAGACAAAGATGCATTTTATTATATTTATACATAATATTCTCTATCAATCACATAAAGGTAGAATGATGAAGTAATTGGACTAAACAACACAAATGGAAACATTTTTGCTTAAAGACAGTTGATATTGTTTTATTTGTAAGTCAAAAAAAATGTTAATCAATAGCCGCGGTTGTGAGAAATTACACTTAGGTGCTGTCTCTTTAATTTCCATTAAAAACTGAACTCAGAACACATTTAGTTTATGTAAGGGTTGATGCACTTCAAATACACAGTAATCTCTCCTACTAAATCCATGGCTATAAAAGCTCTACGAGACAGATGTTTGTCCTGGGACAATGGAAATACCACAACAGCTGATAATCGTGAGGGATTATACCTGTCTGTGTGTGCACTGTAGGTGGATTTTTCTTTTGAGCAATGTGGGAAATCGATATTTATAGGACTGCCACATAGACTAGCATCAGCTGAAAGAAGAGTTATGTAAATTATTAATCCTGTTTCATCTGATTGATGCGGGCTGGACTGACGATGAGCTGGCAGGGCTACTCAAAGAGGAAGGTTGTGTTTGCTCAGCAGCAGCAGATGAGACAATTCTATTATCCAGGAAAATGACGAGTCCTTCCTCACGCTGTATTCGTGCCTCCCTTCTGAGATGAGTCGTGTTAAATCATTTTGCCTCAGTAGATCTTCAGTCTGAACGTCTGATGTTTTTATTCAGGGGTGGACTGGAAGTCGTGTTGAATATTACCTTCAGCTTTCAAGTCTAATTGGATGTGAATGAGTTGATCTTTGAGCTGTGCCCTGGCTACTTGTGTGTCCTGTCTGCAAGCATCAACTGAGTGGGAGTGCTTGTATCCCACTCTGTCTTTTCTACACTTCATGTCTTGTCCTCCTGCACACTTTTAACAGTGTACTATATAGGGTGAAGTCGTGTGTGTTGTCGTTAAATCGGCAAAGAAAAGAGCCTTCATTATTTTAGTTGCAGCCAGCTACACAGGGCCTGAGAAGGGAGAGTAAAGGCCTTTTTTTATGTGGTTCTGAGATAATGAGATTGTGCTGTTCAATCGAGCCAAAAGATGTTCTGCTCAAAGTCCAAATTACCTCTCATGGATCCAACAACCTGAGAGTGAACCAAAGCCAGTTAACTGCACTGAGTATCGACTGTGTGGCTTCAAAGCTACATCCAAAGGCAGACGGACAGAGAGCTTTTTAAATGGGAGATAAATGTTATCTCGTCCTTAACCAGTGAGGGAGAATAATTAGGTCAGGCAGAAAAGTCCCGACTACGCTTCACTGTTGCTGCCATTAGCACATTTTAGAAAACAGCTCTGATTCTTTGTTGGTTAATTTTAGTTAAATTACCTATTTATCCATTGCCTTTAGCTAGTTTTGCTGCTAATTCATTAATTATGCTATTTCAAACATTTATACCGCAGCTGGTGAACCTTTTTTTTTTTTCATATTTGAGCATTTATCTATTGCTTTTAACAATTCTTTAATGTTAATGTTTGTAAATACAGTTATTTTAATTGTGTCAGTGCTTCTTTACTTTAAGCCGACAATTTAAGTTTTCGTTCAGTACTTTAAAGGATGGATCAGTCCCATCTCCATATTTTACAGTTTAACCGTGTCCTTATTTATCTTATGTTGGGCTAACTCTCTTCCGATTGGCAGCACCTGACAAACAGAAGGTTTGAACAGCATGTGTCTAGAGCTGTGTGTTCTGAAGACCATATTAAGGGTATTCCCTGTATTTGACAATGTCTAAAAGTAGCGGGAAAAAACGACTCAAACAGTGTTGTTATTTGAAATTTTGGCCACGTGAGTGTTATTTTGAATGTTTATTCTTTAAGCTGTTAGCCACAGTCACACATAGGCCACAGTCTGGCATGGAGACCAGTTGGCGACTTCTTAGCAACCACCGTTTCCTAGGGAAAATTGTGCATACCTCAACCAGTTAGTGAGTGGTTGCTGGAGCTTGCTGGCAGTGACTAGGTGAAACTGATCTAAAAGGGATATACGGTGTTGCACAGACAAGTTTCTTGTGAGTGGTTTGATCATCAGCACAATTAGCATGGTTCATGTCACTTCACAGCCACCTGTTCTCTCTGCCTATGTGACCAAGGCCTACACTTTTAGACATCTCTTTAAGTTATTCTTATGCTGCAGTTTCAAAAAAGAAGCTTCTTGCTTGTTAACATAGACTTTCAATAGATTTAAGTAGTACATTTTAAGGACTAAACACTGTACACTGATCACACAAACTTTACAACCACACGCAGATGAAGTGAAGCTTCCGTGTTATTCCACAGGTTTAGATACATTCAAATTTCATTATTAAAAGGGAAATCATTCTGTGTAAACAAAACCATCAGTCAAATTAATTGAAATAGTGCAGATGTCTTTTAATGGCTCATGGCTCGCAAACATTAAAGCGTGATTTTGACTTATTGCCTGCCATAACACAAAAGCAACAAGACACTGAAGCCTTCCGCAAGCATAGAAATGCCACACTTTGACTGGCATCACAGTGTGGTGGCTGTCAGGTCATGTAAACTTTCTAACTGCTGCCCTGGGCTTATGACATTCATACCCAAAAGCTGCTGATGCACGAAGTGTACTGCGTTTCTCTGATGTTTTGTTTTTTTAGGGTGTTTTTTGCTACAATGTAACACCTAAAATTAATTGATGCTTTACGTTACTGTTCTCAAGATTCTTTTGAGATGTCACTGGAGTTTATATAAGCAAGAATGAGCCTGTGTGCATCCCACACAGCTTTGAATATGACAGCTCAACAAAATGATATTTTATTGTGTCAAAAAAACCCTTCTACTCAGCAAAGTCAATCAAATTGAAGGCTTCGTACCAAAGTTAAAAAGCTGGGCGTAAGTGACAGTGCTGTGTGTGACTTATCCCATGTGCGATTCTCTGTCTGTCAATCAGCAAAATTTCTTTTGTCATAACATTTCACGTTTGTCCTTTTTCCCAACACAGGACCTGCTCAAAAGATGCCGGCCACAGCTACAGCCTTGGACTTTTTCCAGCTCTTTGTCCCGGACAACTGCATCCAAAACATGGTCACTCAGACTAACATGTACGCCAAGAAGTTTCAGGAGCGGTTCGGCTCAGACGAAGGCTGGCGTCCCGTCACGGCCCAGGAAATGAAAGCGTTCCTGGGCTTTGTCACCTCCACCAGTGTGCACCGCTGTGAGTCAGTGCTCAGCATCTGGAGCTCGGGCTTTTTCAGCAACCAAAGCATCGCCTTGAAGATGAGTCAGTCGCGTTTTGAGAAGATCCTCAAGTACTTCCACATTGTGGCTTTCCGGCCATCACAAGGAAGCAACCAGGGCCTTTACAAGATCCAGCCCTTCCTGGACTCGCTGCAGCAGTCCTTCAGCTGCACTTTCAGACCATCACAAACACAGGTGTGTGCGTTGCGACAGGTGGTGTTTTCTTCAAGCCTCTCTTGATATTTTTAGATGCTTTCTTTCAGCTGGCAATAGATTCTTCTTGCTTTTAGGAGCGCCACATTTTAACAGCACAGCTACATTTTATTATGCCTCATGACTTGCGTAGTATAAAAAGAAATGACCAAAGTTCCAGAAGTCATTTACAGGTGATGATGTTGAGGAAATCACTTTTTAGTCATCCACATCCAAAGTTTTGCTGTGTCAGCATGTTTATGTGTTCTAGTGCAATATTAACTTTCTGGCCTGGAGCCATAACACATTTACACAGATACAGAATGAGAAGGAAGAGGACAGTAATCAGTAGGTAGGGTATGAGTTGCATGTAGGTGCTAACAATGGTGAGATCAAGGCGTATGCCAAGAGATTGTCTCAGTTATAATTTAATTAGTTTATCTCTTCTCTGACAAAATCATTTGAGCTATTTAGTTTTAGATGTAAAACAAAAGAGAAATTTGTTGAATGACTGTTTTCAATTCAATTTGTATTTATACAGCACCAAATCACAAGGCCAGCCATATAGCTGAGAAAGCTATATGCAGTGC